TTATAAGGCTGTGACTTTTTATATCGAAGGTATCTGTAGAAGTTCCTGCCATTTCGACGGTCGCACCAAACAGCTATGATGTATGATGGTGGCGGAGCTGCTTTATTCCGATGTCAATGGGCCTGTTCGAGCAATCTGCTTGTCTTCAAATAAATCCGTAAAGCGACCCTTTGAGTAAAAAGTTGAGGCTGAATTGGATGGCGTACATCTCAAGGGTATGGATGTTACGATAAGATATGCAAAATCCAAGAGGCAAGGAAGGACTACAAAATAAACAAATAGCAGGATTTTGATGTGAAAGCATTATGTTTAGACTCTTCATCCGCATGCAAATGAAAAAGTTGAAATGTCACTGGAAATTAAACCGTTAATTTTATTCTGGTGTTAGAGACTCGAATTTATCGCTGTTTTTATGCAGTTCCGTCGCAATGAATTTCCAGTTTGGGACAGGAAACGCCTTAGCCGTTGGGATCAAATGTTCGATCAGTTTGATTTTCTGTGCCTTACCCGCGTAAGAAGAAACCAGATATCTAATAATGAATGCATGTTGCAACTGTGCTGTTTATTTAAACTTAATTTAGAATGCATTATTTAATCTCCTCATGGATTTGAAAGCCCATAATTGGAAGGCTATGCATACTTTTTACTTTTTGGTGTTGAATATAGGAAAGTTGAGACTTTCTAACCATAGCACAGGTGCAGCGCACTGAACCATGGCGGTCAAAAATGGCAGGAATACGAAAAAATGAATCTGTCCTCGTCTGGGCAGAAGTAAAGAAATTAACGGAAAGAGGCTGACCTTGTTCGACAAAGTTGACTTGTTGTTGACTGTTGACATTCAGAACCATTCAGAACAACCCGTGAGCTTCTCAGATGGGAATCCAAAGCAGAATGAATGTCGATCTAGAGGCAAGCGTACAACATTAGTGACAAAAGTAGAGGCATATCTGCTCTTTGAGGGAAGTTGTTCTTTCCGCGATATAGAAATTGATTCAATATGGCAAAGTGTTAAAAAGCTGCGGATGCAGAAGATATCACAAACCAGAGGCAATGATTTGTACACAGCAATGTAAAGCACATCACCTGTTTATGGCTCCATATAGATAAATTAGCCTGTTTGAAGCAGTACCTCGATTAACACCTTTCACTCGTGACTCATCCACATAATAAGGTTGTTGACAAATGTTCCGCCGGATCGATCGGACGAATGACCATATGATGTCGAAATGGCGATAAATCTTCGTCCTCAATCTCCTCCTTTCCCCTAACCATGCGCTAGTCGATTATCTGCAACTCCGGGTGTCCGGAGCTCCTAGTCGCGTCTTGCGTCGTTGACAATCTGGTCGCCTTTGTCCACTCATCGCGATACTTTTGCCAACGACAAAATTTTATGCGTGATTAAGCAGTTCTTTCCGAAATACCGCTCTCTTGCTGAAGGCGATTCTTTTACGACTCGATTTCGTCGCCTGTTTTCAAGATATCTTCGGTTGCAGCAGGAAAATGATCGAATTCACCGAGGCCAAATCAATGCTTCGACGGGTCGGAAGAAATGCATTTGTCTGCACACCCTGTCTGTCACGAAAGATTCTGTGACCTCTGAAACGTGAAGAAACACGACCGAAATACGATGAAACGTTTTACGAAAATGATTGTCCTACGCGTTATCGTCAATTTGCTGTTTTCCATAACGGCAGTTATGCATTAAATTTAATTTACTACTAATCGGTTCAAAAAATCTTCAAATAATCCGTCCTTTCATGATCATTACAGATCAGATGATAAAATAACTTCGCAGTGCTGTTACTTAATGACGAAAAAATTTTTCGTTAATACTAACCATAATTTTTGACAACTATGTATTTAGAAAATACATCGCATGACTCAAAGCCTGTATTACCGTACGGCTCGGAACCTCTAATCACTTCAAAGACACATAGGCAACTTGGCTGAAATGCGAATGCTCAGAAGGATAGGTGGCGACAGCAAGGATCACTTTGGGAATACCTTCAAAAGACATACTTTAGACGCAGCACCAACAACAGAGAAGCGCCAACCTTCCACTGTTTTGCTGCACGCAAAGCACTGATACGGCCATGTGAGCACAGAAAGCGAAGAATAAAGAAAGGTAGCGGATAAGACACAAAACAAAACTGCTAGTAGTGATCGAAAATTTGACCGAAACAGAAGAATGTGAAGGTGATCGACTTTAACAGAAGGCTACTATCAAAGGGAATGGATTAAGGAAAAAATACAACTTTTCAAAAAAAGTATTGGCAGAAGTCCATATTTCAACATTCATCCGCTTAGGTAGGACGACGATGGAACTTCTGGTACACAAAAGTGGGACGGTCAGCGTCTGATTACTATTACCTCGTTAGCCAGCCATTTCAGGCTTCACTGATACCGAAACCCCCAGAAGTGAATGACCCATTTATCACAGCTGATCCGCAAGTGAAAGAAAGTGGAACGTTTTAACTGGTTGACCAATTTGGTTATATCGGCTCCATCTACAGCGATGGTAGGAGGACTACGCAAGCAACTATTATGTTCTGATCCGGCCACAGAAGCCCTCAGCCGATGCAGATAGTGTTTGACCTTGTTAGATAATCTGTGTGAACATGTCCCACATACTCTAGTTCGTGAGCGTATCTTGTAGGAAAGAAAACACGGCAGACGTCGATCAAGATGCAGCAGCATGTAACATCGAGAAACAAGTTAGACGTAGATCTGGTTTCAAAGAGTAATATTTCCTTCCAAGACACAGCGATCGAAATCTTATTGCAACTGTTGAAAATCAGCGAATATATGGATACATACATATAGCCAGCACAACGAAAATCACAAACTAAGGGCGTTCTGCTCATTCAAACAGCTGCAGGAAATGACCTCAACAAACATACACACACAATTTCAAATTTTGATGTGATTCATGCACTTTCTGAACATTCTGTTCGTCTTGCAAGTCAGCATTTTCATCCTACATTAAATGATGAAGAAATTAATATAGACGGTAGTGTCAATCCTTTCATCCAGGTGCAACGCAAAGAAAGTAATAATTACTACAACAAAACAAGTCAGCTCTGCAATTCTGAGTTAAAACCTTTACAACAAAACACAATCGCGGCCAGACATACAAAGAATTACACCATCGTCTTGGGAAACTGGCTTTCACGTAATCGTTTTCGCTCGAGGTAGCGCTGTTTATATGCTTCGATAGCGATAGCATCGTTACGGTGAGAGAAAATTTCACGAAGCTTTTGAAGACGCTGTTTCTTCAACAAAACGGGATCCACCGTTCCCAACACCTCGTTTCTTATCAGTTTCTTCTTCTGGTCACTATCAGAATGACCATCCTCAACTTTAATCTTTGCAGGTGACTTCCGGTCCAAACCTTCCTCAGGTGGATGCAAATTGTGATCCACACGGGAGAAGGACCTGGGGGACTTCTCACGTGTGTGGCGCCGATGTTTGGAAGAGGAAGAACGTGGAGGAGAAGGCGAATGTCGCCGTTCTTTCCTTCTAGATTCTTGTAGCTGAGGTGGAGGACTAGGCGTGAAAAATCTTCTGTGTCGTTCTGAAGCGCTCTCTTTTGGCCTCTTTTCCTTCTGTGAATGTGACTTGACCAATTTCTTCAATTCTTCGTCTACTTCTTCGTCAGAACTTTCAGCGGCAACGCGAGCAGAAACACGATGCTGATCCTTCGTCAACAGCTCAGGTTTCTGCTGAGAATCTTTAGAGCCTAGTTCATTCACAGCTGGAACAGCATTTTCCTCGACAACGGAGTCTTCAGTTTTAACAGAAGAACAAGGCTGTACCTCATCGACAGCGGCTGATGGAAGAGGGCTGAAAGTATTTAATAAACTCTAAAAAATATTATAAAATAATACATAATTTCAAAATGACTGGTTGATGTTAACTGAATTTATGACAAGATATCGTTACATTAACATACACAACTTATTTAAGCG